TTCAGTTGAATTGTGAAAATTCTCAGTAAGATAAATTGCTTTCCAAAAGGGGCAAATATCAATAACATATCCTATTTTACTTAAAAAAAACCAACAAACAAACAAAAATTGAGTTGTAAATGTTAGAGTTTGATTAGAAACTAAGTATGGCTGTCTACTCTTTTTTTCCTGCCTTTGACAAAGCCTATAGCAATCTGGACCCCCTCCTTCTCCTTCAAGTTGTAATGCCCTAATTCTGGTCACTGGCAATTCTAAATCGACTACTTTCTCTAGGACCAGATGAAATCCATTAAAAATGCTCTTTGATACCAGTTCCATTATGACAACAAAGTATGTTTATTTCACCTTTGAAACTGAGATTATGTTTAACATGGAAAAAATAAGTAAATGTAAGCCTTAACTTCAAGGGCGATAAGTAATGAAGGGAGAGCATTGACCTTCACAGGCATTTTCTAACCTATGTTCTATCTTACTTGAGTTCTCAATCACTGTCTAACGATTCCTCAAGGACAAAATCTTAAAACATGTCAAAGTACCACAACACAAAGCAGTCTTTCTACCTGAGGCAATTTAGGATTCGCTGCTATCACTGCTGTCACGGTATCTGCCACATGAAATGCACATTTGCGCTGTGTTTCGCTACTGTTTCAATATTCAGCACTAAGAGATGGCCTACTGAAGTATTCAGAAAGGCACCTTCATTTATTGCTTTCCCCTGAACCGACCTCCGGGCAGAGGTGAAATGCCGGGGCCCGCTGACCTTCATACAATGTCAGGCTTCCTTAAACCGCTTCAACGAGACATAGCAACAGTGCTCTGACCTTCAGTGGCACAGTCCCGAAGAATCAGCGGAGACAAGCCTCGCCGTTTCAGAGCAGGCATCGGAGCTAGAGCTCCAACACTGACCTTCACCCAAGGCCCCTCTCGGGCAGTACTCAGCTGAAGTCGGGAACCCTCCCCGAGACCCTATCTCTGGACAGCATCGAGGTCAGCACCTCCCCCGCACCGCTCTGCACCGTCCCGCGCGGATGGCCAGCAACAGGCCCTTGTGCCTCCTCCCTGCCCAGCCCGAGCAGCCAACAGTGCAAGATGGCGGCGCCCGCCAGCCCCTCACCCTCCTTGCAGAAAGAGCTCTCGAGTCAGCACACCACCAGCCACCTGCCGGGTCACTTCCCTCCCGCCGGTTGCCCGCACTCACCAGCCCGGCCCGCCTAGGCAGGGCGCGGGCCACGGCCGCGGCGACGCGCACGGACAGCATCTTTGTAGCTCTACTTAGGGTGGTTCCTCCGCAGCGGCAGCCTCCAGACTGACTGGGACAAAATGGCTGAGCGGCAAGGAAGGTCAAGGCAGCCGGTCCACCTGACCCGGAAGTCCCGCCCCTCGTGTTCACCTCCGGACGCGAATCTGCCTTTTAGAGGAGGACTGGGGGTGGAGTTGCTTTTTTTAAATATTATTTTTAGATTTAAACTTAAAAATGAGTGATTAGACCTTTGCCAGCTTCGGTCCAGGCATTCGTCACACATTTATTTTGGCCTACTGAGTCGACCTTATGGTTGCCCCTGGCGACCATGTGGGTAGCGGAACCTGCTATGATGCGGCGCTCAGGCCCGGTTCCGACAGGGAGACGGTGTTGGCGTCACCCTGTACCTGGCGCGGCTGGTTTGAAGGTGACAGGAGGTTGAATGGGGAGGGGGGGGAGGAGGTCCGAGATTACAGCTATTAAAGCCTTGGTGCTGTAGCAACGGTAAACAATTATCACCCTGGGCTTGCCGAACTGGTGAATGCGAAGATCGCTGGCCCCACCCCCAGACCCTCTTAAAATCGATAATTTGGAGGAATCTTAATTTTTGACAGGCACCCACACCATTCTAGGTGATCCAGTACGCGCTCAAATTGGAAAATCGCAGTTCTTTTAGATTCTATCTAAATGAATACTGTATATTAGAACAATTTTTTAATGGTAACAAACACAATTCAAGAAGAGTGGTTGCCAATTCTACTGAGAGTGGACCAGAATCAGAAGTCCCACCACAGACTGGACCAGAAGTCAAGGTTTCCTCTACCAGCAACTAGTTTCATGACAGCAGGGACTATGCTTTTAAATTTGGAATGCAATGGAAATGAAGAAAAAAACCTTTTCTATATCTACACATTAAGATTGGGGCAGGGGTGCCTAAGGGGCTCAGTGGGCTAAGCATCTGACTTTGGCTCAAGTGATGATCTCAGGTCATGATCTCATAGTTCGTGGGTTCTAGCCCGGTGTCAGGCTCCATGCTGACATCTGGGAGCCTGAAGCCTGCTTCAAATTTGTGTCTCCCTTTCTGCCCCTCCCCAGCTGGTGCTCTGTCTCTCTCTCAAAAATAAACACTAATTATTTATAATTATTTATAAAACACTAGATATATATAACATATATTACTATATTATATATTATATACATAATTTATAATATATATATAAATATGGGACAGAACTGGGGCTCCTGGGGTGCCCTGTCACTTAAGTGACTCAGTCCGTTGAGTGTCTGACTTTGGCTCAGGTCATGATCTCATGGTTAATGGAATCCAGCTCTGTGCTGACAGTGAGGAGCCTGCTTGGGAGTCTCTCCTCTCACTCTGCTCTAGCTTATTTGGACTTTCTCTATTTCTCTCTTTTTCAAAACAAACATAAAAAAAAAAAAGATTGGGGCAGAACTATCCCCATACATACACATGCAGAATTTTTATTGAGATTTTTTGTGATATGTACAGAATTGGGGGGGTAAGATACGGGGTATTTTGTGATAGTAAAACTATTAATATTGCCTTCACTTGTAAGTGTTCTGAGAAGCATCTTTCAGCTTCATTTGCCAAATCCTGGATTACACCTAAAACCTTAATTTGGGTAGGGCATATGAATATCTGGGTTGAAAGGGTCATTTCCTAAAAGATGGCTTGTAAATGTATGGTCAGCAATCCCTTTCCCTAAAATTCTACTCTATTTTCAAGGTGAGCATCCTTCTCCTCATGGGTAATAGTAGGCTAACAGAAAAAAAAAATGGTTTGTAAAAACAACAAAGTTGGAGGGTTATTTTGTGAAATTTGTAGTGATGAAAGTGGACAAAGGGCATAAAGATAACTTTTTCCCATTCAGGGGCTGTACCATCTTACCAGATATTTGGTTACTGAGCAGAGATATATTTGAGTAAAACAAAAAGAATAAACAAGCCATACAATATAGTATTCACTAGTTAATAAAATTCCTTTGAAAAGAAAGGTTTTGTCATTTTAAATATGCACATGACTTAGAAGAAAGATATTTAGTGGTAAGACTACTCCACAATTTGGTCTTAAACCACATATATCAGGCAGTCGAGTACACGGTCTACCTTTCCTGGTGTAACAGTATATTACAGGAGGTTGCAGGCAACAGTGTGGTCTAACTAGCCTTCAAAGATAAACACTCAATCGGAACCAGAACATTATGGTCAGATTCTAGCTTCTACTACCTAATCTTGGTCAATTCATTTAATCCGTGTGTGTGTGTGTGTGTGTGTGTGTGTGTGTGTGTGTGTGTGTTTTAACATGAAAATAGGTAAAATTTGTTCATCTATTTTTACCAGCTACTTGTAAAAATGAAACTAAAGGCATGCCTGAGTGGCTCAGTTGGCTAAGTGTCTAACTTTGGCTCAGGTCATGATCTCATGGTTCATGGGTTTGAGCCCTGCATTGGACTCTTTGCTGACAGCTCAGAGCCTGGAGCCTACTTCAGAATCTGTGTCTACCTTTTTCTCTGCCCCTCCCCTGCTCATGCTCTATCTCTCTTGAAATTAAATGAACATTAAGAAAGAAAATTTTAAAAAAAGAATTAAACTGAAATAAAACAGATAGAAAACTATATATTGCTGTGTAAATATAGAGAACCTCTCTTCGTGTTAACTACAGGATGGAGAATTCTAGGGAAGGCAAGAAATGAATGGAAGAATGGCTGAGCAGCAGCAACAGTGTCAGAAGTTGGCTCCTGTCAACTGTTTTATTTTTTTTAATTTTTTTAAATGTTTTTATTTATTTTTGAGACACAGAGAGAGAGCATAAGCAGGGGAGGGGCAGAGAGAGAGGAAAATCCAAAGCAGGCTCCAGGCTCTGAGCAGGGCTTTAACACACGGACTGTGAGATCATGACCTGAGCCGAAGTCGGACGCTTAACCGACTGAGTCACCCAGGCGCCCCGATTGTTTTATTTTTTAAAGCAAATTATGTTCCTTTTTAAAAAATAAATGTTAATTTGAAAGAGGATGAGATTGTATGAGTGGGGGAGGGACAGAGACAAAGAGGGGAAGAGAGGGGGTTGGGGGAGACAGAGAATCCCAAGCAGGCTCCATACTCAGTGCAGAGCCCAAGTGGGGGGGGGGGGGGGGGGGGCTCCTCCCACCACCCTGGGATTATGACCTGAGCTAAACTCAAGAGTCTGAAGCTCAACCGACTGAGCCACACAGGCGCCCCAGCTGGCAACTGTTTTAAAATAGCCTCCAGCACAGATAGCTCTTTGGCAGTGAAAACTAAGGGATAAGATTAAGATTGCTTCGGCTCATATTGCTCAGGTAAAAATAAAACATTTAACTTAATGCACTCCGTGTGGAAGAAACAAATATCAGTTATCGAAAAAACAAGTTGCAGGTTTGTTTGTTTTTTTTTTTTAAAGACAAATGATTCAAGTCAGAAATAAAACTATAAGAAAGAAATAACAGGCTGGTTCTAGACAGGTGTACTTCTCACCTAGGAAATGATACCACGGAGAGCGGAGAGAGCGTAGAAGCAGCAAGTGAAGAGAGGGTCTGGTGCTGGAGTCTTCCACCAGCCTGGCCCAAGGACTCAGAGCCCCAGAGTCCTAGTAAAAAACCACAACTCCCAAAAACCCTTGGCCCAGAAGGGGCGGGACCAACGGTGTATGGGCGGGACCTTCCGAGCGAGCTCGGCACTTCTCTCGTGAGGAGCTTCTCGAGAAGTTGAGGGAACGGCGGCTATGGAAGCAGAGGAAGACAAAGAGGCGCAGGTGATGGGGCGGGAGCCGGGCTTTGCGGCCTCCTGGAAACGGCGTCTTTGGCGACACACTCCTCGCCCGCGCATCTCCTGGGCGCAGCATTTTTACTTTTGTCCTCCCCTTGCTCCGCGGATCGGTCTTTAGTCCGCCTTGGCGATCTGGGAGCCCGACTCCGCTTAGACACCCCCCCCACACCCCCCAGAAAGGGCGTTTCCCTTCCTTCCCCGGGCCTCTCCTTGCTGGGACTCCGGCTTGGATAGCGGTGGAAGAGCCCCCTGGTAGGAGATCCCTCTCAGCCGACTGGAGTGGGACTTCCAAATCCAAACCCACCTTACAGCCAAGCTTCCCCGTTCACCGCTGCTTCCTAGTAGGATTTTCACACCTGACCTGATTCCTCGGCCTGCATCCCAACTCTAGGTGCCTCCCAGAACAGCGGGGCTTTTGGTGTGTTGTTGGGGGCAACTCTTTTTTTTCAGACTTTTCACGTATAAGAAAGCTTGAACACCTTCATATTGAGCTTTAAAATTATCCGAGTGATGCACATTATTAGCGTATACAGCTTTGTAGCTTTAGGAAAATATAGATTGTTTTATGGTAATTTTTTTATTTGTGCTTGCTCACTTTTGTCTCCTGACGTCTAGTATCTATCTCCCTAAAGACAAATTATAATGTGAAATAAATAGAACATTTCTACAACACATTTTCTTTGCTTCTCATCACTTCTTTCGAATATTTGCTTCATGCTTTTACAATAAACAAGGTTTATAATCTTTGCTTTTCTTTTAATGGTTAGGTTGCTGCGTGGTTGAAAAAAATATTTGGAGATCACCCCATTCCGCAATATGAGGTGAATCCTCGGACCACGGAGATTTTACATCACCTTTCAGAACGCAACAGAGTCCGGGACAGGGATGTCTGCCTGGTAATAGAGGACTTGAAACAGAAAGCAAGCGAATATGAATCAGAAGGTGAGATTAGTAAGAGTTTTGAATGAGGTAATAACTCGAGATGACTACATTTTATGTATAACGCTAAAGTATACAAGCTTTAATTTAAGGTAGACTGCTTGTTAGTTTTGCTTCTTTATTTTACCCAGATTTGCCTCCCATTCTGTTACAGCAACTTAATAAGTAATAAATGTCATTATAATATAAATTCAATTGGTACTCTGATAGCACAACAGTAACCCCTAAAACATGAAGCTAAACGTAGCCTGACATACAAGATGCCTGTGGTTTTTCACTTAAATATCTTTTTGATCTATTTCCCCGTCTCCATGATTTAGTTACAGTGAGCCATTGGGACATCTGAGGTGGCAGCCATGAACTATGAGACTTGTACAAGTCACACTATTAGTATGTGTGCTACACCTGTGTAGCTTGAAAGAGTGTATTTGGGAAACCTGTTGTTTTTGTAATACTAACCACACATTAAAAAACAATTGATAAAAGCCTTTCTATGGGTCAGAATATACAAAAGAGGAAAGAATTGAGACTTGCAATTGCCCTGTATTTAACTAACTTACATGTGTGGCATGTGTTACATTCCATGTTTTGAGTGTAGTGCAATTTATATTGTAATTCTATGTGTGGGCTTTTTTCCTGCTTTCTTTTAAAAGTTAACATACAGCAAAATTGACTTTTTGTTTTGGTGTACTGCTTTTAGAATATATATTACATTTCTATGACCCAGCAGTACTTTGTATGCATATTATGTTATACATTGCTTTTTAAATCAGGAGAAAAAAATATGCATTTATACTCTTTATAATTCCCTGGCCACCTTTCCTGGTGTTCATTGTTGTTTTCGTGTGCATTTGAATTATTGTTTGGGGTCACTTGCTTTTAGCCTGCAGAACTTCCTTTAGTATTTCTTATAAGTCAAGACTGCTGGCAACCAATTCTCTCAGTTTTTGTCTATCTGGGAGTCTTTATTTGCATTCATTTTTGAAAGATAGTTTTGCTAGATGTAGGATTCTCTGTTGACAGATTTTCTTTTAAAACACTTTCCACTATGTTGTCCCATTGCTTTCTGGCCTCCACTGTTTCTGCCAAGAAGTCAACTGTTAATCTTATTGGGGTTTCCTTGTAAATAACAAGTCCTTTTTCTTTTGCTGTGAGAACAAGATTGTCTCAAGATTGTCTCCTTATCTTTTACTTCAACATTTTTACTTTGATATGTATGTTTGTGGAGCTCTCTGCATTTATCCTACTTGGATTTGTTGAGTTATTCCTTGAATGTGTAAATTATTGTTTTTCAATAAATATGGGAACTTTTCAGGCATTATTTCTTTGACTGTTTTTTCTGCTTTTTCTCTTCTGTATGACCATTGTACATATGTTGGTGTGCCTAATGTTGTTCCTCATTTTTCTGAGGCTCTTTTATTTTTCACTTTAAAAAAAAAATTTATTTTAGAGAGAGAGAGAGCACACAAGCAGGATAGAAGGGGAAAGAGAGAGAGAGAGAGCTCCATTGCTCAGCAAGGAGCCCGATGTGGGGCTCGATCCTACAACCCTGGGATCATGACCTGAGCTGGAATCAAGAGTTAGACACTCAACCAACCGAGCCACCCAAGTGTGCCCACTTTTTTCCTCTCTGTTCTTCAGCTTCCATAATCTCTTATCACTTTATCTTAAAGTTCACTTATTATTTATTCTGCTACTTCAAATCTATTGTTTGTTTTCTCTAGTGAACTTTTCATTTTAGTTATTGTACTCTTCAACTCTAGAATTTCCATTTATAATTTCTATCTCTTTTTGATAGTCTCTATCTGATACAACATTGTCCTTATACCTTTTGTTACTTCTTTAATCATGGTTTCCTTTAGTACTGTGAACATATTTATTATGGCTGTTTTGAAGTCTTTTTCTGACAAATCCAATATCTGGTCATTCTGACAGGCAGTTTCTTTTGTTTACATTTTACTATGGGTCATGCTTTGTTGTTTTGCATGCCTGTATATTTTTGTTGGAAACTGGACATTTTAGGTAATGTAGCAACTCTGAGTACTAGTCTCCCAACACCCCCAGCGCCCCAGAGCTTGTTTTCATTGTTGTTTTCTTATTTACTTAGTGACTGACCGCTTTTAATGAAGTCTATTTACCCCTGATGGTGTTAAGCCTCTGATGTTGCTCCTCAGGGAGGCACAGACTTAAGTATTCCCACAGTCACTCTGGGATGTCAGTGGTTTTGGGGACTGTCTTACTCTCTTTCATAGACCACATCCAGGTGTAAAATTCTGGTAATTGACAGCTGATTATTGTTTTCAGCAATAATCAATTTATGATTTATTTATTGATAAATTTATCAATTTATGTGGGACATAAATTGTTCTCCAAGCTAATTCAATCAAATTCTGGCACCCTTAAAGGAGTAGTTTTACAGGGCAGTGTTTGATATTTGTTGTGACCCAAGGATGGCCCCTCCTAGATGTCTTATTTTCTGGTTCTCCCATGTAAACTAACTAGCCCGCAGTTTGACTCTTCTCCCAAGTGCTTTTTACTATAACTTCCATTGTTTTCGAGAGTCTCCTTAGGCTTGGACTTCTCCAGGCTCTGTCGCAAATGAAATCAGTTCCTTTGGGAAGATACTGGGCATTATCTCTTCTATGGCTTGCTTCTTCCTCTGCACAAAATCTCTGAGCCAGCGATCTGGAGGTGAGGGTAGAGACAATAGCAAGGTTTTCTCCAAGTGACACCCCTAGTGTAGATGCTGAGTGCTGGGTGGACGGGGGAGTACAACAGACTTAGGTCCTCTTGACTTGACTTTCCTGGTCTGAAATCACCACCTCATGAGCTGGTGCAAGGGCCCTCAGGGCCCTGGTATTCTCAGCATGGTAGATGCTCACCCACAGTAGAGCTTGATACTAAGAACAGTGGCTGGGTGGGGGAGCCCACACCTCTCATCCACATTCATCTAGGACTTAGTATCAGCAACAGAGAGCTGGTGGCAGGATGAGAAACACTGAAGTCCTATTCCTCCTGGAAAGAAAGCCCTCTGGCTGGGAGCTGGAGGCAGAGGATCCCTGTGTTCTTGACTACAACAGTCTGGAGTGGAGTCTCTGCCTCCCTGAACTGGGAGAGAGAAGGAGAGAGTGGTTTTGGTTTACATATCACAAACTCACCTTCCTTACTGAATTGTCATAGATTTTCTTGACTAGATGTTTCTTCATTTGCTGTTTGTTCTTAGGACCATTCCCAGAGGCTTTAAATCATTGTGTTTTAGTTCTGGTTTTGTTTTTGTGTTTGTGTTTTTACATGGTTGGGTTTCTTTGTTTGTGTGTTTGTTTACAATTTTCACCACTTTCACTGGACAGCAGGTATGCAGAGCTCTTTGCACTGGTAGGCTGGAAGCCTTAACTCCTGGTCTATTGATTTTTTTTTTTTTTTTAATATTTTATTTTTAAGTAATTTCTACACCCAACATGGGTCTCAGACTCACAACCCCAAGATTAAGAGTCACATGTTCCATCAAGTAAGCCAGACAGGCACCCCTGGTCTCTTGATTTTTTGACAAGGGTAACAAGACAATTCAGTGCAGGAAAAAAATAGCCTTTTCAATGACCAGTGCTGGGCTAACTGGATATCGACATGTACAAGAATGAGGTTGGATCTTGCCTCATACCATATGTAAGAATTAACTCAAAATAAATGAAAAACCTAAATGTAAGAGCTAAACCTAAAACTCTGAAGACCACTTTGGTGTATATCTTTATGACATTGAATTTGGCAATGGTTTCGTAGCTATGAGTCCCTAAACACAAACAACAAAAGAAAGAGTAGATAAATGGTACGTCATCAAAATTAAAACTTTTGTTCTCAAAGGACACCATCAAATAAGTGAAGAAAACAACCTACAGAATGGGAGAAAACATTTGTAAATCATATCTGATAAGGGACCTGTATTTACAACATATAAAGAACTCTTACAACTCAGTAATAAAAAGACATATTACCCAATTAAAAATGGGAAGGGGATGTGAATATACGTCTCTCCCAAGAAAATATAAAAATGACCATTAAGACAGCATTATTAGCCATCAGGGAAATGCAAATGAAAACCACAATTCCTTTTCACACCTATAAGGAAGGCTATAATCAAAAATATTCGGGTCTTGAGTAACCATTTATTAAGTTCTGTGAATGACCACTATGCAAAAAAAAAAAAGACAAATAAACAACTGTTGGTAAAACAAACAAACAAAAACTTGTTGGTCAAGATACGGAGAAATTGAAATCCTCATACACTTCTGGTGGGAATGTAAAATCATACAGTCCCTTTGGAAAACAGTCTGGCAATTCCTCAAATGGTTAAAACATAGTTACCATATGACCACCAGTTCTACTTCTAGGTATATACCCAAATATGAAATGAGAAAAGACAGAATGTAGATTAGTGGTTGCTAGGGCTTCATGGGTTGGGGAATTGGAATATGATGACTAAGAAATGGTGGGGTTTCTTTTTGGGGCAATGAAAATGTTCTAAAATTGATTGTATTGATGGGTATACAACTCTGTGAATATACTAAAAGCTATTGAGTTGTATACTTTGGGTGAGTGGATTATATGGTATATGATAAGTTGTCATTAAAGCTGTTAAAAATTAAAGTAAAACAAACATCTTAGTTACCATAGAACTCTTATATCTTTTCAGCCAAGCACCTTCAAGACCTTCTCATGGAAAGTGTGAATTTTTCCCCTGCCAATCTGTCTGGCGCTGGTTCTAGGTACCTGAATGCTTTGGTTGACAGTGCAGTGGCCCTTGAAACAAAGGATTCCTCACTAGCTAGGTAATTCTTGTGACAGTTTTCATTTCTGTAATCATATGTAGTGTAAGGTCTCAACTAAGGACTTTTTGTTTCACTGGGTAATTCTATATAGGAAATGAACAATAAATCCCAAAACACTGAATTTGCTTAATTCCTTCTTATCATTGCTAGTAAGTGTATGTATTTAATTCAGATAAACCTGGCATTGTTTAAATTTTAGTGTTTTCTTCTTTCAGGATTAGGTTTGTGAAGGTTGCTTCTCACATTTGTTTGGAAAGAAATTAGGTAACACATTATTCCCCGTAAACAATAAGAAAAGCAGTAGCCTAAATTATCTTATTCAGGGGCGCCTGGGTGGCTCAGTCGGTTAAGCGGCCGACTTCAGCTCAGGTCATGATCTCGTGGTCCGTGAGTTCGAGCCCCGTGTCGGGCTCTGTGCTGATGGCTCAGAGCCTGGAGCCTGTTTCAGATTCTGTGTCTCCCTCTCTCTGACCCTCCCCCGTTCATGCTCTGTCTCTCTCTGTCTCAAAAATAAATAAACGTTTAAAAAAAATCTAAATTATCTTATTAAGCATAGTGAATTTTGATCATGTCCCTACCCTACTGGGTAGAGTAGATTACGGACCTTTATTCTTTGTGACAGGTATTCCACTTATGTAATGACATTATTCTTTCTAGCAACCCTAAGAGGAAACTAAAGCTCAGGAGAGGTGTATTAAATAACTTCTCCAAGCTGGTAAATGGCAGATTTGGGATTCAAACCCAGCCTGACCCCCAAGTCCATGTGATTACCGTTGGTGGCCATATCTCAGCTAGGACTACCACTATAACTTACAATCAGAGAACTGTATAGCTATTCTACTTAATTGCCCATATAAAACTTGGAATTTATATATATTCTCAGGAAGTAGTGTTTCAGGTATAAGAACATAAGAAACCTAAACTTGAATTCAGTCAATTCAGCAGACACCAAATACCAGTTATATGCTAGGCATATAGCTATGTATACGTACAGGCAGAGGAAGCAGAGATGAATAGGATAGTAATTGGCAGCAAGGACTGTCTCTGCTCACAGTCAAATAGGGGAGATGGGTATGTAAAACTATAGCATAGAGTGACACCTTTAACAGTATAAGAATGTACAACCTGTTGATAAGTAGTACAGAGAAAGGGGTAGTGAGTTCCAGAACAGGAGTGAATCTTATTTGAATTTTAAAAGACGAATTGAAATTTACCTGAAGAAGAGCTTTCCAGGAAATGGGAACAGCATATAAAAAAATACAGAAAGGAGCGCCTGGATGGCTCAGTCAGTTGAGCGTCTGACTTCAGCTCAGGTCATGATCTCACAGTTCATGAGCTTGAGCCCCATGTCAGGCTTTGTGCTGACAGCGTCGAGCAGGCTTTGGATTTTCTCTCTCTCTCTCTCTCTCTGTCTCTGTCTCTCTGCGCCCCTCCCCCACTCGCGTGTACGCACTCTCAAAAATGAATAAATGTTAAAATTTTTTTTAATTATTAAAAAAATGCGTAGAGCATGATTATAGAAGAATCCACATTAAGACAAAATCATTGTTAGAAATGAGGAATAATTATCATTATTGTCCTTAATGTCCATTTATGTGACCAGATCCTTTTTTTAGTTTTATCCCCGCAGTGAATGATTTGACGTCTGATCTTTTCCGTACCAAATCCAAAAATGAAGAAATCAAGCTTGAATTGGCGAAACTTGAAAAAAATCTAACTGCAACTTTAGTGTTGGAAAAATGTCTACGAGAGTAAGTAACTGAGTTGAAAGTGGTGATGATGTTTGTTATACAGGCAGTAACAGGACAGTGTCAGATTTAGTTTTGACAGTAGACGGGATTTAAAACAACACATTAGAAACTGGAGTCCATACATGGTTTTCTAAGTAAAAAATGACTTGGGTGGAAGTAGGGATTGGGTACAGACTTCCACCTTTTACTTCATACTTTTTCTTACCATTTTTTCTCTTTTATAAATAGCCTGGGGTTTGGGGCGCCTGGGTGGCTCAGTCATTTAAGTGTCCATCTTCAGCTCAGGTCACAATCTCACGGTTTGTGAGTTCGAGCCCCACATTGGGCTCTGTGCTGACAGCTTGGAGCCTGGAGCCTGCTTCAGAGTCTGTGTTTCCCTCTCTCTCTCTGGCCCTCCCCCTCTCACACTCTGTCTGTCTGTCTCTCTCTCAAAAATAAATAAACATGAAAGAAAAAAATTAAAAATAATTAAATAGCCTGGGTTTTATAATTTTGAAAATGTATGTGAATTTTTCTTTTTAACTTATAAGCCATGGTGCAACCTAAAGTCACATTATATTTGGTTGCCCCAGAGATTAGATGCTATAGATCAGGAGTGTGGATATGCACAAGTAATTTGGTGGTGTGTAAATTTATTTAACAAATATTAAGTATGTATATGCAAGGCACTGTATCATGTCACATTTAGGAAAGAAGGCTTTGAGACTTCCATAATTCAAATTGCTTTAGGATATATTAAATCACTTTTTTAAATAGCAGGTTCACTTTCTCCAAGAATAATTGGCATAGATTAATCTTAAAATTACTTAGTATTCCATGAGAAAAATCCCAGGTGGCAACATGGAGTGGAGAATGACCTGGGAGAATACACTGTAGCTAGTCCGGGATATAAAATCTATGGTAGAAAGTAGCAAGTATGTTGTCTACTTTTGGCTAATCCAGAGTATTTTTTTAATAATAATTCCACTGAGAAGAAGAAAATGTTTTCAACTCTACTTTTTTTTTCAATATATGAAGTTTATTGTCAAATTGGTTTCCATACAACACCCAGTGCTCATCCCAAAAGGTGCCCTCCTCAATACCCATCACCCACCCTCCCCTCCCTCGCACCCCCCATCAACCCTCAGTTTGTTCTCAGTTTTTAAGAGTCTGTTATGCTTTGGCTCTCTTCCACTCTAACCTCTTTTTATTTTTTTTCCTTCCCCTCCCCCATGGGTTCAACTCTACTTTTTAAAGGGATCTAAAGAAGGCAGAGTTGCATCTGTCTACGGAAAGGGCCAAAGTTGACCATCGTCTTCAGAACATGGATTTCCTAAAAGCAAAGTCAGAGGAGTTCAGATTTGGAATCAAAGCTGCAGAGGTTTGTACAAAGGACTGAATATATTTAGTTCTTTTCAGACTTCTTGTCGATCTTCATCCTCACAACTAGACATATGCTTACTTTTTTACAGATAAGGGAACTACAGAGAGGATAGGTCACTTACCCAAGGTCACGTAGCTGCTTAGCAGTGGATCCAGATTCAAACACAGGCAGCCAGGCCCCAAAGCCCGGGGGCCCCAACTCTTAGCGCTGAACCCACCTTGTCACAAATCTGTGACTGTTTGAAATGACCCACATGCAGCATAGAACTGCTTAGATGCATGTGGTCTTTCATCTATGATTTGTAGCTTCTCTTTACTGTGTTATATGATGAAAATATGTCACGATGGTCACTTTGAAAATACTTTTTTTCACTAAACTCCCTTTTTTGTAATTATAGGAGCAACTTTCCACCAGAGGCATGGATGCTTCTCTGTCTCACCAGTCTCTCGTAGCGCTCTCAGAGGTGAGCCTATTTTAACCCAATTTAGCTTTCTTTAGAATCTTAGCACACAATCTGCCTTTTCATTTGCTTCTTTTTAGAGAGCTTTATTCACTATTGACCTGTTTTTCCTTACCTCTGTACTTTATGTTCACTAGTATTTATACCTTTATTATGTGGTTAGCTGTATCTATCCTCACATTTGTTTGGTTTCCTTTATTTACTACTATATGCCAGAAACTCTTTGCTAGAGTCCGTTATGTATTATTGATTTATTTATAAAATACATTTATTGAGGGATTATGTGCTAACCATGTAGGTCCTCTTCTTCTCTTTCCATGTACAGTAAAAATGCAGGCCCCAAAACTCATATAGGATGCAATTCTAGGTTTTTAGGTTGTGTAAGTGTTTCATGTATTTTGATAGGAAGAGGGAGAAAGAGGGGGCTTTGTTTTATTTTATTATTACTTATTTATTCTTAAGATTTTTTTATACTTTGATTTGGGAATCTAAAGTTGACAATTCATAAGTATGTATTTGAGATTCTAATTGTTCCCTTACATTCTGATTCCTCTTGATCACATTATTCTGTCTTCCTAGACAGCATATTTAGATCCTAGTCTTTTTTTTTTTAAGACTTTATTTCTTTTTCATTTCTTTTTAATTTTTAAAATACTTATTTTGAGAGAGAGAGCAAGAGAGCAGGGGAGGGGCAGAAAAAGAAAGAGAGAAAGAATCCCAAGCAGGCTCCATGCTGTCAGCACAGAGCCTGACATGGGCCTTGAACTCAGGATCCGTGAGATCATAATCTGAGCCAAAATCAAGAGTCATGACTAATCCAATTGCCACCCAGGTGCCTAAACATTTTGTTGTCAGGGGCTTGGCATGAAGCCGGTTAAGCAACACTTCAGCCAGGTCACGAAGGGTCCCGCGGGAGTTCGAGCCCCGCTGGCCAGGCTCTGGGTTGATGGCCTGGAGCCTGGAGCCTGCCTGCATTCTAGGTTCTCTGTTCCCTCCCCCCGCTTCAGACATGCTCTGTCTTCCTCTAGTCCTAAAAAAATAAATTAAAAAAAAAAAAAAAACATTTTAAGTCATCTCTACACCCATTGTAGGTTTCAAACTTAAACCCTGAGATCAATAGTTGCTTGCTTTACCAACAGAGCCAACAGGTGCCCCATTTAGATCTAATTCTTAATAAATGGGAGTATAACTTTTCTATTTTAAGCATCTAATAAGGATTGTTTCCATTGGAAGTGAGTTTGTTATTCCTATATCTTTGAACCTCATTTAACACATTGATACAATTTGATATATTATTTTAAATATCTTAATGTTAACATTTATAATGTTTTATTTCAGAAATGAGCAATATTTAGTTGCGTTATGAATATCTCTATCACTCTGTGACTCTTGGATTTTTTTCCACCCCCAGAAATTGGCAGAACTAAAACGACAGACAATACCTTTGAAGAAAAAATTGGAGTCCTATTTAGATTTAATGCCGGTAATTACTTTTATGAATTAAAGTCGTCGCCAACTTTCCCCGGGGGTACTAACTGATCATGAAAATACTGGGTTCATGTTTAAGGCTCTCAAGTCTCCGCTGAGTTTCAGTGTTGTGTGTGCACTGGATACACTCTGTAAGGTGTTTTGCCTTTTGAAAAAGATTGTTGCACTTTTTCTCCTTGAGTCCTAGTTGAAGCAACATAATCTTTCCTTGTTTTATTTTTCTTTAAAAGAATCCGTCGCTTGCTCAGGTGAAAATTGAAGAAGCAAAGCGGGAACTAGTAAGTAGTTCCAGTTTTTTTCCTTCCTATTTTTTAAAAATAAAGGAAAAAACACTGATATGGCTACAGCTCCCTCCACCCTTCTTTCCTTCCTATTCCGAGGTAAACCACGGTCTCAAAGCTGTTGTGTGTCATTACCATGCGTTTTTTAATACTTTTTTGGATATGTGTATGTGTTTCTTTGCATAAAAAATACATAGTGACCTTTTATGTCTTTTACATTTTCGCATAGATTTTCCTAATTGGAAAAGGGGGGATGCAAGACAGAATATTCTTTTTTTTTTTTTTTTAAGTTTATTTGTTTATTTTGAGAGAGAGAGATAGAGCAAGCAGGGGAGGGGCAGAAAGAGAGAGAGAGAGAATCCCAAGCAGGCTCTGTGCTAACAGCAACCCAGGGCTCGATCTCACAAACCGTGAGTTTGTGACCCAAGCTTAAATCAAGACTCGGATGTTTAACCAGTTAGGCCACCCAGGTGTCCCAAAACAGAATATTCTAAGCAAATGAATTAGCAAAGGTGTATGAGCTAGAAAACGGAGGACTTTTCCAAGCTTTGACAAGTGATGCGGCCCAGCTGTTTAGGGGTATGCAGTGGACAATAGGACTAAAGAAGGTCAATTGGTTTATGATATAAAGGACCTTAAATATAAAGGGAGTTGAACTTGGAGGCTGTATGGGACCACTGAACATTGCTGTGTGTTTCTTAACTTTCTAAGCTAAAGAGAAATGAAATGTGATCAGAGCTATGCTTTTTGATTAGGCCAGTTTTTAGGAAGATTATTCTGGAATCAGTATATAGGGTGGATTAGAAGAAGGAGAAAGAAAACTGCAGAAACGGTTGGTGTATTTAGACCAGGTGAGAAGTAATGAGAAAGTGTCAACGAGAGAAGAAAAGAGGTGACGTGAGAGATGTTGAGGAAATGCATTGGTCAAGCAGCAGAGGTCAGAAAAATGTGTTCGTGTGTCTTTATACTGATACACTGATTCATCTCTCTAAAGGGTTTTTCCCCCTTGAGATGTTAACTAGAATCAGGGGTCTGAAAACTTTTAGGGTGTGGGAAAGAGGGGGGCAAGGTAAAAGCAAGGAATGTCTAAACACATATTTAATATTTATAATGGTATTTTTAAAAATTTCTGTTTTAATGTTTTTCTTTTTTGCTTCCCTTATTTTAAATAACACTAGAAGTTAGAGGACCTGTTTTATGTCCTTATTTATAGAATTTATGGTGGTTCTTTCTTCCTTTAGGATACCATTGAAGCTGAGCTTACAAAGAAAGTAGATATGATGGAACTGTGACCAGAGTCCAGTAAGCTTCATCGTCCCTAACAAAGTAAATTGAATAGGACTTGAAAGAATTGTTTCCTCTCCTATGCCTTAATAATTTAACACCTGTATAATAATGTCACTGTTGATGGAACAGTGGTTTCTGGTTGTGTATTGCATTTCTGTGCCCAAATACACAGTTTTCATATTACAAACTGTTTTTCTATGTTGCTGACAGTTAAGTGTCCCTCAGTGGGTCTCTTTGGTGAACATTATGACAGTTGTCATGCAGTCACTTGTGAGGCCAACTAAGTGAAGTGTTGTGTAACTCAACTTACGTTTATCCCCAGCCCTCCCTCTAGGGTTTTGCTGCCTTCCTTCTGATCAATCACCTGCCTACCTCCAGATGTTAATATATGCAGGAATTTAGTTGAAAGAGATGACCTTTTAAATCAGTAGTAGAGAGACAGATAATTCAACCCATGGTGCTATATCCTTATTTCATGCCTTATGTCAGGATAATCCCAAGGATCAAAGATTTAAATGTTAAAAAAAAAAAAAAAAAAAGACAGTAAGAGAAACCAGGGAAAAGCTTTAATGTTTTGACTTTTAAATAATCATAGAGTCAATAACAGAGGACCCAAATCCAGGAGCCATAAATGAAATGATAGAATTATTTGAAAATTTGGATTAAAAAATTCCTACATGGCAAGATCTTTTATAAGTAAAATCAAAGGCCGTTACAACCGTGGTATAGGGAAAAAGAAGGAGAAAGTTTTCATTGTGTTCCTTTTTGTACTTTGAAAAATTTTGTACCATGTGATTAAGAAGCAACAAGTTTAATTAAATTTATTTTATTTATTTATTTTTAAAGTATGATCCTCTGTCATGGCTTTTTTTTTCTTTTAATATTTATTCATTTTTTGAGAGAAAAAAAGAGAGTGCAAGTAGGGGAGCGGCAGAGAGGGAGGGAGTCACAGAATCCAAAGCAGGCTCCAGGCTCTGAGCTGTCAGCACAGAGCCCGATGCGGAGCTTGAACCCACAAACTGAGAGATCATGACCTGAGCTGAAGTCAACCACTCAACCAACTGAGCCACCCAGGCACCCCAGCAACCAGTTTAATTTTTAAAAAAGAGGAAAATGAAACGAGGGGTTTTGTTTTTGCAATCAGTTCTTTTTTTAATGTTTATTAATTTGTGAGAGACAGAGACACAGCATGATTGGGGGAGGGTTAGAGAGAGAGGGAGACATAAAATCTGAAACAAGCTCCCTGGTCTGAGTTGTCAGCACAGAGCCCGATGCAGGGCTCAAACTCACAAGCCGTGAGATCATGACCTGAACTGCTTAACCAATTGAGCCACCCAGCCACCTGCAATCAGTTTTTTTAAAGGTTACCTAAATGACCTTAAAAATTTCCCACTCCTTTCCCACAAATATGTGGAAATATAATATACAAAAGACATTTGTATCTCCTTTTTTGAAAACTGTCCATATCATTTAGCCATGTAGGTATAGTGATTTTGTCTTTATCTTAACAATTTATAAGAGCCCCTTGTATATTAGCTAAATTAATCTTTTGTGATTTGCACTGTAAATATTTTTCCCAAGTTTGTCATTTTTCTTTTGACTTAATTCCAGTGTTTTTGGTAAGGCAGCTTGAATTGATTGTGGAAATGACCACAGTAATTCTTCTGTCCCTGGGCACTCACCCGTTGTGTGGTGACTTTGCTACGTCTCCCGTCCAGAGATGAAGTCTGTATCTCTATCTCTTGGCTTGGCCTTGTGATTTGTTTTAGACAATGAGACAATAGCGAATGTAACAGAAGCAGAGGATTAAAAGCTGTGTATTGGAGCTTGCCCTCTCTTATGGCTCTGGAATTCTGAAACCACTACGTAAAGCAGCTTGAACTGTTGGCAGATGAGAAGCTACATGGAGCAGAAACAAGTGATTCCAGCCGAGCCTTGCCCCCACCCAAGACAAGCAGGCTGCCAACTGCCAGCCATATGAATGAGGCCTTCTTAGACTGTCCAGCCCCCGTCAAGCCACCAGCAGGCAGCAGAGATCAACCAACCTGGCCTGGGCCAGAAGCCCACAAAGTCAACCTATAGTATCATGAGAAATAATAAATGATTGTTATTTGAAGCTTATTTTGAGTTTTGGGCTGATTGTTAGCTGCGGTAGCTAATTGATAAAAGTAGCTTGTGAAATTAATGTTCAAAGTAAAAGGAGAGCAAACATATACACTGTAAGAATTAAAGAAACTTAGGACCAGCATAATTTTATAAAAACAGTAATTATATTATTATTTTTATTTTAGTTTGTTAATGTTTACTTTTGAGAGAGAGAGAGAGCACGAGTGGGGAAGGGACAGAGAGAGAGGGAGGCACAGCATCCGAAGCAGGCTCTGAGCTGTCAGCACAGAGCCCAATGCGGGGCTTAAACTCACAAACCGGGAGATCATGATCTGAGCCGAAGTCGGATGCTTAACCGACTGAGCCACCCAGGTGCCCCTAATTTTTTTGTTAATGTTTATTTATTTTTGAGAGAGAAAGAGCGTGAGCAGGAGAGGGACAGAGAGAGAGGGAGACACACAATCTGAAGCAGGCTCCAGGCTCTGAGCTGTTAGCACAGAGCCCAACTGTGGGGCTCAAACTCATGAACTGTGAGATCATGACCTGAGCTGAAGAACAGGGAGAAAGAAATTAGCAAGGATACAGAGTATTTAAACAACACAATTTACAAACTTGATCCAATGGACATATAAAGAATCCTATACCTACCTGCCATGGGATACATGTTCTTTTTAGGTGTATCCAGAGCATTTCAACAGTTGTCCAGGGGCTCCTGTCTGGCTTAGTTGGTAGAGCATGTGACTCCTGATCTCAGAGTCATGAGTTCAAGCTTGGGAGATTGGGCATGGAGCTTACCTTAAAAAAAAAAAAAAAAAAAAA